GCTAGGGAGAGGTTTCCACACCCTTATAAAGAATGTTTCGTTCTCCTCCCCAACCGACGTGGGATCTCGATATAAGAACATCTTAGAGAGGCAGCATCATTCCAACACAAGTCAATGTCAGCAAAACATAAAAAGAACAAATGAGTACTAAAATATTGCAGCAATGTATCAACTTCAAGTTCAGAGATAAAGCAGACTAAAGATAAGGAATGCAAACGCGGTTAGCTCGATACGAAATAAACCTGAAAAGAACAATATTCGACATCCTAGCTCCTAAAATTGCACATAACAACTACGCTTAACGAGAGGTCGAATTTAGTTACCTGTCATGTTAAAGTTGAGCTCGGTCACAGCAGCAAGAGCACACCCACCAATGATCGGAAGGAGCGACAAGTAGACAGGAAGCGGGAACGTCTCACCCAACAAAAACCTCGAAACCAATACGCTAAAAGCAGGTTCACCACTCTTGATTATGTGAGTGAATGAAACCGCAACCTTAGACATACTCACAGTTGCAGCAACATGTCCAATTGTATGGGCAACAGCAACCTTAAAACAAACAACAATATCAACATCAACAGATACAAACATTAAAGTCATCTGGTAATTCAGACAAACAAGAACAACTCAGACAAGCATGAATCTATCCTTAATATACACGAATGAACATAGAAATAGACTTGTTTTTCCTTTGTAATTGCTTAATTTGGCAAGCTTTCCCTATCTTCAATGGCTGAAAAGTCAATCCGTTTCACAAATCACAACATAACAAATAAAATTTTGTCTTCTTTATCAAACAAACAAATCCTGATACTTACAGGTAGCAGAGACTTCCAAAATTCGATATCAGTTTTGGGCGCCTCGGCAATTCTTGTCATCCATGATATCAACATGATCAAAGATCCGGCGGCAAGCGACAGAGTCGAGGTCAGCCAAGGATATGGGTAAGCGTTCAACACTTTCTTGTTATAGATATTGAAAACTACGTTCAAAGCCCACCAAAGAGCGAAGTATGATCCGATTTTCAACTTCTTCGCCGCCTCGGAACGGGCTTGATTCTGCGACAAATCGATGCTCGATTCAATCGGTTGCGATCGATCAGCCTCGTAAGCTTCGCATTTGATCGGATTAGGTTTACGAACCCGAAGTGATCCGAAATTCTCAAGCGAAGAAACATGAACAGCCTTATGAACAGAAACAGCGGATTTTGGAGGTTTTTGCATCGGAAGAGGAGGAAGAAACAAGGATCGTTTAGAAGGAACAGAGATTTTGCTCCGAATAACACCATCGGAGCAATGGATAGCCCTAGATGATTGTTTCACAGCACAGATCATGGTGGAAATTCAAATGGGTATCACGAAATTCGAACGAAAAACGCAAGAAATCAAAGATAACAAAGATTAATCTCCTGGATTCGTGCAATAATATCAAGAACACGAAGAACAAACGTTTCACAAAACTCAAAAAGCTACGAAACAAGATGATCTTTCACGACTCTAAAGGGACAAATAAGCTACGACTTATGAAACCAACAAACACCCACCAAAAAAGTGATCAAAATTTAGCGACCCAGAAACAGGAATCATGAACAAACTAATTTTCAAAGGGGGTTTTATAAAGAGGGTCAAATCAAATGAGACGGCGACAATGTTAAGGCTTTGGGGACTGTGGAAAGGTATATTATTTACAAAACCCACCAAGAAATTTCTTGTTTAGGAACGATGGGGTCAGTGGGGGAGCTGAAAAATAGGTCACTATGAGAGGAATTCGAAGAACTGGTGGTTCAGTTTCTCTATTGTATTGGAATGTTGCCATGATCAACGAGGGCTTGCCAGTTGCCCTTGCTGGTCTGCCATGGTTGAATGATGTAATGTCTCCTAGGTCAACAAATATTTTCAATACATTTAATTTCTATGGGTCGGGACTCTGCCTACAAATGATGTCTTAACTGTTCTAATGCTCGGGATACATTTCATCTTGATTAGTGTAGTGAACTACATTGATTGGTTGAAACCACCTGTTTACAACCTCAATGAGTGATGTCTTAACTGTTCTAATGCTAGGAATACATGTAACATTCTAAGTTTCCCGCTAGTCTGTTTTAGTCCGTTACGTATTGTCGTTAGCCTCACAGATTCGAGAGGTGTGCCAGTGAGGACACTAGCTCCCAAGGGGGGTGGATGGTGAGATTCCACGTTGGTCAGGGAGGGAAATGAAGCATTTCTTATAATGGTGTGGAAATCTCTCCCTAGTATACGCGTTTAAAATTGTGAGGTTGATGGCAATACGTAACGGACCAAATCGGACAATATCTGTTAGCGGTAGACTTGGACTGTTACGGTACATTTTTTCTTGATCGATGTAGTGAAACTATATTAGTCAGTTGAAACTAGCTCTTTACGAATCTTAATGAGTGATGTCTTACCTGTTTTGATGCTCGGGATACAAGTAATAGCTCAAGTTCACCGCTAACAGGTATTGTGTGTTTTAGCTCGTTAGATATCACTGTTAGTCTCGTGGTTTCAAGTGGTGTGCCAGTGAGAACGCTGGCCCCTAAATGGGGTTAGATTGTGAGATCTCACGTTAGTTGGAGAGGGGAATGAAGCATTCCTTATAAGGGTGTGGAAATCTTTCCTTAGTAGACGTGTTTAAAATTGTGAGGTTGATGACAATATGTAATGGACCAAATCGGACAATATCTATTAGCGGTAGACTTGAACTGTTACAGTACATTTTTTCTTGATCAATGTAGTGAAAAACTATATTAGTCAGTTGAAACCAGCTATTTACGACCTTAGGTCACATTTCTTCTGATCAATGTAGTGAAACTACACCGATCGATCAAAACCATTTATTTATGACCTCAAAGAATGATATCTTTACTGTTCTGATGCTCGGGATGCATTTTTTCTTAAATAGATATGAGCTTTTAAACTACATAGTTACATAACTACTTTAATTTAAGTTTTTCATTAATTATGTAAATTATTTATTAAAAGAAACATTTTAAAAATCCATAAAACCAAAATATAATAAATTCGAATTTAATTTTATTATAGTTTCTCCAGATTCCAAAAATTTTATTTTTCGATTTTTGCTTTAAATAAATAAATATCGTGACTTATAATAAATGTATTAGCTTTATGATATGGACGTGTATTTAAATCACATAAGTTATGATGGTGAGCGGTAGGTGTACGAGGCATCTAAATCATAATTTAATAAATAAATATTAAATACTAACGAAATAATTATTACATTATTCCGTAAATATAATGTGTTAAATTAGTATATTATAATTATTTAAAAAAAAATAAAAGGTGCACATGCTTAAGTAATTAAAAAAATATTTATAAATTAATATAGTTAAAAAAATATTCTTTAATTTTGTTTTATTGGAATTATATAAATATTTCTAAGGTAAATTATAATTTTGGTCAATAAATTTTTTAAGGAAAAAAAAAACTCATTTATTTCAATAGAAATCAAATTTAGCTTAAAGTTAAATTTAATTAATAAAAATTTTACTAATGGATAATTTTCATTAAAAAAATTCAAGTTGGCGGAAGAAATTATTTAATAAAAACATTATCCAATTCTAAAAAAAAATATCCTTAAATTTTTAAAAATTCAAATACTCTTAAACTGAAAAATAAAAATTTAAAACTCTTTTAAAAATATTCAAAAATAATTTTTAAGGGTTTAAAAAAATTTTAATTTTTTTTAAAACTTAAAATATACTTTCAATTTTTTTTTAAAAAAATACATTTTTATTATTAGTACACATTTAAAAAATACTTTTCAATTAAAATGTTTGTAGATAATCTATAAGATATCGATAGACAGACGATTGTTTTTTTTTTTTTTTTTTTTT